GGAACACAGATAAGGCCCTGTGATCAATTAAAAATCAACAGAAGCGCGTGTACGTGCGTGTGGTCGGACCACATGAAAAACACTCTATTGCGTCTAATACTTGCCCCTTGGCCCCTCCACCCCAGGCAAAGGAAAGGAAAAAAAAAATATATAAAAATTAGATAAAAAATAAAAACCATTTTTGATCCGAGCTTTGAGAAACAGAAGACTCTTGTACAAAGACAAATAAATGTACGCCATTACTAGACCGGTTCATGCGTTCACATTGTTGTAGTAGATGTCAATGAACTACATATAAATGGTTGTAAACAGCCGATTCTGTTCTTTTTGCCCATGTGGTGTACAACTGATATACATAACATGTATATTTATATATATACATACATCTATCTTTTTTAACTCTCTTCTAATCCTCTTAGTCTTGGCATATATTATATTATACCCAATATGTGGTTTCTCTTTTGTCAAAGTAATGGCTACTTTTTGGGGTGGCCTTGTCCTCCGCTCAGACACTTGTGGACAAGAAAGAACAAAAGGAAACTATAAGAACCTTATAGGATGGTACAAAGCACATGGCAAAAACATTCACGTTGACATGCATGCATCGTTCTCTCATCTAAAAATCTATAAGCATTTGCATATAAATGTATAAAATATAAAATATAAAATACAAAATACAAAATACAAAATATAAAAATTAATGTAACATGTAATGCCTTTATAGCCCTTATACTAATTTATGCTGGCCCACCTCCGTTCTCAATCTATCTATTGATGATCTATCTATCTCTCATTTTTAATCAAAAAGAAAGCTCAATGATCCAATGGTGTCCAAACGACTTTAGACATGTTCACCACAATATGTCTATCTATATAAAATTAATACATTCATCTTGTTTTGCGCAATAAACATTAAAGGTTTGCTTATATATTTTGTCTGACTACGCCTTTGCTACACAGACAACAAAAAAAACCACTTTTTTTTTTTTATATTATTTCCCCGTTCTTTACAAGATAAAAAAAAAAAAAAAAAAAAAAAGAGCAGGCTCTAAAAGATCTTTTTTTTTTTTTTTTTTTTGTTTTTTGCCACGAGGCGGAAAGAGAAAAAGAAAAAGGAGACAAGCAATTGTTTTGCTCTGTTGTCTGCTGAACATAAAAATATTACGAGATTTACAAAAAAGAAGTTCTAGCATATAATTCTTGGCTCTCGAGGTCAACGTGGATCTTTAATCATTGCAGCAAAAAGAAAAAGAAAAAGAAAAAGAGAGAAAAAAAAAAAACCAAAATGACAACTACACCTTACATGCGTATCACATTATAAAGCATGCTCGATAAAGGAATAGAGCATTTAATTCTCTAAATCTCAACTTCAAAAAAAAAAAAAAAAAAAAAAAAGATCAGCCATTTCTTTTATTTTATTTTATTTATTTTTTTTTTTTTATTTTTTCTCGTAACCGAAGGAGAGAGTCGACAATAAAGTAAAGTAAAACAAAATCAAATAGAATAAAAACTGGTGAGCCAAGGAAGAGCCTTTTGAATATGGGTGCAATCAAAGATGTGAACATTTCTACTTTATCCACTTTTCATTTTAGTTGTTGATCCAATTTCATATTCATGATGTGTACCTCTACGCCAACAGCGCCTCGTTCATTATTTTTTTTTTTTTTTTTTTTTTTTTTACAAATATTCATCCATGTTAATGATTCAAGTTGTGTTTTATGTTTAATCAAGTGGATTGAAGTTCAGACAACACTAAGATATTGGTCATAAGCGCATGCAAAACATACAAAAAAGGACGAATCGTGTCCTCTCCTTTGCTCATTGATATGCATCCTTTGGTTTTTTTTTTTTTTTTTTTTTTGTGCTCAGATTTACCGTTTTGCAAAAAAAAGAGTTGATCAAACCAAACAAAAGGACTCTATCCTTATTTTCTTTTCTGTTTTCACAGAAAAGAGTTTAGGCCTTGTGCACGACCGATCTACGTAATAGATATACATGTAGATTGTTGAGGATGAGAGAAAGCAAGTCAGGAGACAGAAAGGAGGAGAGCAAGGTAGTGAAACTTGATGGAGGGTTGTTAAAGGAGATGGATGCAACACATGGAATGTCCCTTAATCCAATACATTCTTCATTCCAGGGTCTCTTTCTCTTTTTTTTTTTTTTTTTTATATTACTTTTTATTTTTTAAACATTATATACATTTTATACATTATATATATATATATATATACACCATCATTGACTGGTAGTCTTATTTATCCTTTGTACGCACAGGTGCACACGCCAAAGGTTAGAAGAGGGAAACCACATGGGATATTAAGTGGCACAAAGAAATGGGAAGAAGGGACAATGTTACTCATTAGAGGATGTGCTGCCAACACGGTTGGGGTGTAGAATGGCCAAGGATTTCAAAATAACCCTTTGGAGCAAGTAGGGGGAAGATGCAAGATGCAAGTTATCATAGGCGCGCTCACTACATATTATGATTGAGAAAAACCCAGCTACGATCGATAAAGTATTATAAGATCCAAAGGGGAATATCTGGAGTAAGTGATTCTGGATAGGGGTATATGTAAAGTAGCCATTATGAATAAGAATCTACTTTTTTTTTTTTTTTTTTTTTTTTTTGGGATGTAATATTTATAATAAGAGATTTTCTCTTGATGTAATCCAACTGGGGTTATTTGTTGGCTTGAAAAAGAAAATTGACTCTCTGTAACCATCAAGAAATAAGGCGGGAATGAGCCACAGCCATCCATTGCAAACAATAATAGGCAACTTTGTGTATGCACGGGAAAAAAAAAAAAAAAAAAAAAAAAAAAAAGAGAATATTGTAAATAGTTGAATGAAAGAGAAAGCATTCAAGGCTTCAATGGGAGGAAAGTGAGGGCAAACATACAGAAATGGGATCATTAATTTTTTTGGCGCGCACGTTAGCCAACTTCGTGTGCTTGCCCATTCGCTCTTCTGGTTGGTTCATTGGGATTTTCTAATGTGTTTTCTGTAGCAAATGGTTTTCTAGATACTACAGTATCAGTAGAGCTGAGCACGGGGATTTTGACGATAGCTCGAAAATGAGGTCAGCTTCTTTTTCTGGACGTCTCAATGCATCAATGCATCATCATCTCTCCCACATTCTTTTTTTTTTTTTTTTTTTTTTTTTTATATTATAATTTATGAAGAAAGGAAAAAGGACAGAAATTGAGTAGAATGAAGATGTATAAAAAAAAAAAAAAAAAGGCAGACTTGGCTTTACGTGCAATCTCATGAGCTTGAACAGCCATGCAGGAGGTAATAATAGCTTATAGATCTAGCTGGCCCGAAATAAAAGGAGTCATGCTTCTTTGCCGCATGAAAAAAGAAAAGAAAAGAAAAGAAAAAGAAAAAGAAAAAAAAAAAAAGACCAATAGGGCATTTCCCAAGATGACAAGGCTAAGATACCTGCTCTTTGTGTATCCGTCCTCTGACGGTTGTAGGCCTGCGCCGCAACTATTGTGTCAAGCAAACATTACGAGGATTACGTGGAACATTGCGTGAAAGATGGTAAGGAAACAAAAAAAAAACAAAGAAAAAAAAATTACTTGTAGAAAGTATTCAAAACAATTGGGAGGAAAGAGAGAAGAACCAGAAAAAGATAAACAAGGCACTGTTCCTTTGTCAATGTCGGCTAAACTTCCGTAGCGGGACCAGACATTCTCCTGAAGAAAGAATGAGGAAAAAAAAGGAAAAGGAAAAGGAAAAGGGAGGTGAGAAAAGTACATTTTTTTCGATAGAAAACTGGTGCAACAGCGTTTTCTCTTTTTTGTAAAAAGGGAACTGAGCGCGGATATTCCTGGTGTACCGAAGGAAGAAAGCTGTACATGTGCATGTTCGTGCATTCTCCTTTTTTTTTTTTTTTTTTTTCTTGTGTTCATTGGCTAAATTCTGAAGAATCCGCTGGGGGATGGAGGAATATCTTGCATTTATGGGAAGAAGAAGGACGAAAGGGATGAAATGTAGATCGTGCATAGCACTTTAGCACTCAATTAAAACGCGTCTGCCATAGCACGGACTAGATATTTGACGACTAAAAAAACTTGTATTGTCGAAGAGTAGAATAAAATAGGCTGTTGTTTAAATTGGGTACATGTGCCACGATGTTGATCGAAGGTTAAATCAATAAATTGATTCAGTTCATCAAAATATATGTATACACAGTCTATCGTATCATAATACAAATCATCATGACCACAGACAAATTTTATTTACTCTTTTTATTTTTTATTTTCTTTTTTGCTTTTCAAGCCCACCTTTTATACCATTTGTCAAATCCTCATAAATACAAATATACAATGACAAGTGACTATTCAATAATATATGCTTTTGAATAGGAATACTATACTATGAAATAGCGAATGAATTTAACTTTTTTTTTCTTTTTTTCTTTTTTCTTATTGAGCTTTCCTTTCTTTCGTATTATATTTCGCTCTCTCTCTCTTTCTCTTTCTTTCTCTCTTTCTTTTCCTCTTTTCCCTTTTGTTCTCCTCCTTTGACCTACACTCCACATCTGCTTCCTTTGTCTCTTGTTCGTTTCGTTGTCCAGCAACAATACTCTCATCCACACACATCTCTCTCTTACACTTGCACAACAACACCTGAGAAAAAAAAGAAAAAAAAAAAAAGTAACCTTTACCCTTTTTTTTTTTTTTTTTTTTTTTTTTATACAACACCTTTTCTTTTTTTCTTACCACTGGTAAAATATTATCCTATAGACGAATTTACTAGAAAACACTTGTACCTGAGTTGTGCCTGAGTCAGTTACCGAAACGGAGTCAGTCCTTTGACGTTAGCTCCATTTTCCACCTGCACCCTAAACACACACACACATCCACATCCACATCCACATCTATACTCATATCCACACGCTTAACCCAGACACGCTTAACACATTTCCAACATCTTACTATACGCCTATAGTATGTACACTTTATTTCAATTCAATATCCAGCACCAATACGCGCACATGCACATCTATCACACACACAACACAACAATATGCCGCTCTATCAATTTCACACGCGCAACTTTCCTAGACAACCTACTAGCTTATCCCTCTTTTCTCTTTTTTTTTTTAAGAAAAAAAAAAAAAAAAAAAGAACGCGCCTCTGATAAAATAACCCAATCTTTTTATTAAAAAACCGTTGGTTGTTATCTTCCTTGTGTTCGTTGCGGAAGAAAAAAAAAAAAAAAAAAAAAAAAAGAAAAGCAAGAATACTGACGATTTCTAAAAAAGATGAGTAAACTCGACGGTGAAGGGATTGATTGAATAGGCTTCTTACGAAACCTGGGATGTTATCCTTTCTCGGATCATCTTTACTTTCACACATTCGTACTCTCCTTTCAGTACCTAATCCTCTATCATTGATACATTCGCCACCAACCAATGCAACACTTTTTCTGGCTTGCTTGTCCAACCCCCAATTTCCTCCCCCCCAAAAAAATGCGTCATTCGCAAGAGGAAAGGAAGGGGAAGGGGGGTGAATGTTTGGGAAGCTCTTGTCTTGTGATTTTCTCAATTTTATTCTCGTTGTTCTTTATTTTGTGTGGCGTTGCCAATAAAGTGGAAAAAAGCTTATCACTCTCCATGGATGTTCTGTTGAAGATCAAAGACACATTGGGGGGTGTCTGTAGGGAACAAACTGCAAAAGTCAAATCATTCAACTGCTCTAATGTTAAGAATACACTTTACTGACTTTTTTTTTTTTTTTTTTTTTTTTCTTTTTCTTTCTTTTTCTTTCTTTTTCTTTCTTTTTCTTTCTTCTTGTTAATGCTTTCTATCAATCTTACAAATTCTAGACAGGTGAAAGTGATTGTGAGTCTCGTTTGTGTTGACTAGACCTGCTCCATAAGCGTGGACAATCGCGACAAGAGTATCCAAAACCCGTGTCAACCAAAGGACAGTTTTGACAAAGGAATAAAAGACCAAAAGGTAGGATACAAAACGGCCTTTTTTTTTTTTTTTTTTTTTTTTTCTTTTTCTTTTTCACACTGCATTCCAATTTTTGAGAGGAGAAGGGTGAAGGGTGTGGAAAGGAGTCATGAATTCAAATATTCGGTGGGATGCATGCGCCGATTGACACAAACTTCTGCCACGAGAATTCTTTTGCAGTATCCACCTTCTCGCTAGCTTTGTGTCTTGTGTAGCATCCATTCAGTGTCTTAATCCTTTGCCCTTGGACTCCTGAAATTCCAAGGCATGCTATCGTCTTGATGAGAAGCACTTGTTTCCACGAGAATCAGTCTGCATAAAAAGAAAGAGAGAAAGACAAGAGTCGTGAAAAGGTGTCAGACAGAAGGGCATCCTTACATCCCTTTCCCCTGAGTCTTTTGTCTTTTGACAAAGTTTTTTTTTATTTTATTTTTTGAATATTGGGCACGGTTGATCGTTGCCCTGCCTTTTTCTTTGTGCACCCTTCTCTCACTCATTTGCTCACTTGCTCATTCTTTCATTCACTCACTACACTCACTTACTCACTCGCACACTCAATTCAACAACCACATTTGTTTTTAACCATCTCGATTCTTGTCTTCCACAGAGAACTAGCAACTTTTTTTTTTTTTTTTTTTTTTTTTATATTTTAATATAAAAAAAATATTCTTCTTCCTCATTTTTCACTTGCTGGCTTCTCACATATACATAAGCATAGTAAGACCAACTCTTGTACAACCCAAACCATCTCTATCTGCCTGTCTTTGACCTTCTTGGAAGCGGTGCGATTTCTTTTGTATGGTGTGATGTGGTGTGTACTATCTATGCTCATAGAGAAGCTGAACAAGTAGCCGCAAAAGAAGTTTTATATGAGCTTGTTCTTATGTGGATTCTGCCAAGTTTCTTGTTGCTCATGAATAGAGCACAATCTTGTGAACCCTTAACTCTGTTCTGCGAAAGCCCCATATTGAAAGGCACTACTTTGCACAACTCTGTACAGTCCCATAGCCAAACAAAGCTAGCACTTGCTTGAACAAGAGTGAAAGCGAAAGAAAAAAAAAAATCAAACGCTTGTGTCTTATATAATAGGAAGATTACATCAGTCATTGATGATGGGCTGCAGATAAACAGATTGATGAACGAGTTGTTTTTTTACTTTTGCTCATGGCACAGAATAGACAAAAGAGAGGTGAGGCCACACAGAAGCGACGTGTTTGTCCTTGTGGACGCAGTGTTACAGAAGCGGAACCAATCCAGTTGTTCTTCTTCCCCCCCCTTTTTTTTTTTTTTTTTTTTTTTTTTTTTTTTCTGCCGCCAGAAATAGGCCAGAAAAATCTTGCACAGACATTCGGAGACAAACGCACAAATTAGCTCCCACCATTGGCTTCGTCCTCTTAGTCAATGAATGAGGTCAATGAATTTTTTGTCTCTTTCTTCATTTACTTTTACATTCTTATTCTTGTTCATGCTCATGGACATGTCACTCCCTTCATTTTTTATTTCCTCTCGAAATACCTTTGCTGTTTTATCTTTTCGAATCTTTTCTTTTTGGTTGGCTCTCCGCTTTACTCACTTGTGCACTGCACTACTAATTTCATTGGTGCCCATCTACTGATTGACTGGTTATTTACTTGTGTACTCATCTCTTACCTATTTTTTCATAATCTTTATTATGTACTTGCAGTTCGATATCCGCTCCATTCACCCAAGGTCTAACTACTCACATTTATACACCATCCTCACTCCGCCTCCTATCATCTTCATAGTTTTCTTGACTTTACATAAGCGGCCCAATGACCCACATTTCAGGCTTTTCCTCGGCCCCTAATGATCAGACGCTCGTCAGCAACAGCATCAAGGAGAGTAGTGACCATATTCTTCTACATAGCAACACATTAAACAATGGACACATTGCTCCCCTTCGAGAAGGGTTTGCTGCACCTTTGAACGACACTCATGATCCACAGCAACTCCAACAGAGCAATAATAATCAGCCTATTTTAATGAACGGAGCTCCTCTTCAGCATCCCAGCCATGTCTTTGGACCTGAAGGACAAATCATTTCTACATCCTTCCCGATGGAAGGGGTAGTTCAATCAAGCACTGCCTCACATCCAGCCCACCACTTTGTGGCTGTACCAACTACTCAACAACAACAACAACAGCAACAACAACAGCAACATCAACAACAACAATTAATGCAGCAGCAACAACAATTAATGCATCAACAGTTCGAACAGCAACAACAGTTCGAACAGCAACAGCAGTTTGAACAGCACCAACAGCATCAGCAACAACAGATACAGCAGATGATGGAGCAGCCACATCTCTCGCTCCAAACAACTGTAGCAATGCCCGCACATGATTTTCAAGCTCCGTTACTGTCTTCGCTACCCATGAGCCCTCCTGCCGCACAACAACAATTGCTACTCGTGAGTCCTTCAATACTCTCTGCAGAGTCACAGCCAATATCGGTGTTGACACCAATGTCGTTTCAACAAGCAGCCGAGTCACAAAATATGCATTTACAGATGCTAGAGACAGAGCATTTACATCAGCAACAACAACAACAGCAGCAGCAACAGCAGCGGCAACAGGAGCAACAACAACAACAACAACAACAACAACAACAACAGCAGCAGCAGCAACAACAACAACAACAACAGCAACAACAGCATGAGCAAATCCATCAACTTCAGCAACATGAGCAAATCCATCAACTTCAGCAACATGAGCAAGTCCATCAACTTCAACAACATGAGCAAGTCCATCAACTTCAGCAACACGAGCAAGTCCAACAGCTTCAGCAGCAGCAGCAGGAGCAGATACAGCAACTTCAGCAACAGCAGCAGGAGCAGATACAGCAACTGCATCAACAACAGCAGCAGCAACAGCAGCTCCTTCAGCAACAGATCCAACAGCAACAACAGCATGTACAACATATCATAGCGACAAGTATGCCGGTATCGGTCTCGGTCTCGGAGATGTCGATGCAAAATGCAATGTTAATCCAGGAACAGATCAACGCACAATCTCGTTCACATACGCCCGTAATTGCCTCTCAACAGTCATCAAATCAGCCACGTGTAATACATCGTCATCAGTCTTCATTTGATGGCGCGAATCAGGCGACCATGGAATTGCATGCGCTTAATGCTCAGATTCAACAACAACAGCAGCAGCTACAGCAACAACAACAACAACAACAACAACAACAACAACAACAGCAACAACGGCAACAGCAGCAACAAGACATGATAGCAGCCGTGGCCATTGCATCTTCTCAGCAAGCGCTCGTCAGTCCAGTAGAAGCTACCATGGGACCCATTATGATGCCTATTGGCCAAAGCATGATGATCATGGCAGCTCCTCAAATGATGAGCTCAGTTGCTCAGGAAATGGAAGCTATGACTACGGGTATAGGTTTGAATCAAGATATTCAAGGACGACCTCTGCAGGCAAATATACCGCAGCCAGGTCGAGAAATGGATACAACAGGGTTTACAGTCCAACAGATACCTCATTCTGTTGCAGCCGTAACAACAGCCAGTATGCCTTATCCAACGCCGCTGTCTAGTACAGAATCCATGGGCTCATTCATGCCATTGGTACCCTCGATGCAACCCGCAGCATCTCATCCTTCTAGTGTCAACACTTCTCCGGCATTCACACCGCCTGAAACAGCCCTGCCTAACAGTACAGACGCATTGAAGCGTCACCGTCGTCATCCATCGTCTGGCCAACATTCGCCAGAGTTAAGGATTCAGCTTCAAAAGCAAGATTTCCAGCAACAACAACAGCAAATGATGGCAGCCAAGGAGCAAGCACTGTTTAATAGTTTGCACCGGGTAGAACCACACCAGAGTCGTTCCCCGAGAGCAGCGGCAGCAGCAGGGTTAAAAATCAACGTTTCTGAGATTCAAGCACGCGCAATGCCACTCTCTACCCTCGGATCTCCTGCAGAGCCCGGTCATGCGTACTCCCCAGGGCCGCTTTCGGCGCCTTCACCTATCTTAGGACCCGTCAATAACTCGCTCGTCGATACCATTATGGAGGTCTCGTCCACATTCAAACTTCAAAATCTGAACGACGTCAAGGAAGCCAAGATGGAGCCGTTAGAGTTGGAGAAGCCTTCTACGCGAGACGAACTGCAAGAGTTGACGAAGCAGGAACTTATTGAGAAGGTAATGCAGTTGGAAGGTTCAATTCCTCTGCGAAGGATGAGCACCATTAAGCAAGAGTCAACTGATGAGCTTATGCACGAGAAATGTAAGAGTTGGTAGTGCACGTTTATTTAGATTTCAAATAAGTGAATGTCTGTTAATTTGATATTAGATCGTGTTAACTAACCTTTAAGCCACTGTTTTTAGCTTTATCCTCTTCAGCTGGATCGTCAGTATCAGAGGCTCAGACAGAGGAGCCACAACAGAAGCAGGAAAGTCCTCAGTTATCTTCACTGTCACCGCCTTCACCTGCCAATTCGCCTCCAACTCTCACCATGCAAGCCAATACAGAAGATGAAGGACTGAAGAAAGAACTGGCTTCTCCAACCATATCATCCTATGCTGTCAAATCGCCTACAAACCTTCATGCAGTTGTTGCGTCTAATAACGATGAAGACGATGATGGGGATGATGATGACGAAGAAAACGAGGATGACCTGGAAGATGACGAAAATGAGGGCGAAGATGGTGAAGAACCGCCAGTAAAGTCAAGCAAAGGCTCAATAGATACGAATGGCGCAGAAGACTCCGAGACGCCACAGCAGCTGGTCTGTTTGTGGAGGGACTGTAACACGCCGTTCGAGTCTATGGTCGAGTTGAACGTCCATGTTGCAGAGACGCATATTGGCAGTGGCAAAGCTTGCTATAGCTGTGATTGGCAAGGATGTCCTAGGATGATGAAACCATTCACTAAACGACATAAAATGTATAACCACCTGCGGACCCATACTGGCGAGCGACCTTTCAAGTGTCTTGTGCCAGGTAAGGGATCTTTGAATGTCGAGCACTGTCATTTCTTTTTATTTTATTTTCTTATTCTGATTTTATGATATGCACTCTATTTTGGCTTCTAGGTTGCGATAAAAAGTTTTCTCGACCAGACTCGTTAACCACACATACTAAGACACATTCTAATGTTCGGCCTTACATTTGTGCTGTCGAGGGATGTCCTAAGGCGTATTACCACGCTAGATCTCTTAAGAAGCATGAGCTTGCCCACGAGTCTAAGCAAGGTGGAGGAGTTCTGCGCGGATCGGGAGCCACACATGGGGCTGCTTCGACCTCATCATCTGATAAAGTCAGTGATACTGGATCGGCATCGACTAGTTCACAGCAGCATCGTGCGCACTACAGCCATCCATACCATCCTGATTACACGGCGGGGTCTGGAAGATCTAAACACAGACGCAATCAGAGTCAGAGCGCTGCAATTGCCGCAGCAGCTGCCACAGCTATTGTGGGAACATCAGCCGCATCAGCTTCTACAGCATCAGTGATTCCTGCAGTGCCAGCCCTACCCACACCAACATTTCCGATGCAATCGCATCTTACGGTGGCACCAGACTCGTTAACTATCGGGGGCTCCCCTATTAACGGTATTGGCACGATGCCTCCAGGCACAAGCCCATCCGCCTCAATAGCTATGACAAGTGCTAGTGATGCCACATTGTTCAAGTCCTCTATGACAGGGTTCAACACTGCGCTTTTGACACCCGCACTCTCTACTCATTCATCGTCATCCTCAGTTCCAACATTATCCATGATGATGAGCAATGGTCCCATGTCGGCAGATAGTGGCGTAGTGATGATCGAATCCGTTTATCAGCCTCAGCCCAATGGGCTTGTGGCCGTATCATCAGCAGATGGTGGCGTACAGCCATTGACGCCTTCAGGATCGCCAGGGTTCCAGACGGGGATTGCTCCTACGGTATCTTTGAGAAGCCCTACACCAACAGCAGTACCAGTTGGTATGTCACTGCCCCTCAATGTGAGAATGCCTGTTACGGGTATTTCCATGTCTCATCCAACTCCCGCCATGCTTTCGACATTGACGATGACTACCAATGATACGCAGAGGGTCAACATGGCAATGATGCAAGACAATAACACGGGAGGCAATTTGTACTTTATGGCGAACGACCAGCTCGCAGTTAGCGGTGGTATTCCAGCTCCTGGCTTAAATGTAACAAATATTGCGCCCCAGATGGGTGCCGATCTAGGTTATGGTCCAATGCCAGTTGATCCTCAACAAATGTGAATAGATTGATGTCTGTTTTTTAATCATGGCGCCTGCTCAAAAAAAAAAAAAAAAAAAAAAAAAAAAAAAAAACCAAACAAAACAAAAAAAGTCGTTCCTATCCTTCATACCCGATCATACCCATATCCAATGCAGAACTACCGATCCTTCCAAGACCACGAGAAACGAGAATGGTATGGCAGGTTGTCAGTGTTTTATACCCTTTTCTTTTCTTTTATCATCCTCCTACCGAAATCCTATCCTACTTTTCTTACTTTTATTCATGATGCATTTATTTATCTTTTTGCATTCTTTTCCTTTTCATTCTTGTCTTTCAATTCTTTCAATTCTTTTTTTTTTTTTTTTTTTCCTTTTTCCTTTTTCCTTTTTTATTTTTTATTTTTCTCTTTTTCTCATTCACATTTATCATTGACCATCATCGTACTTTTCGGAAAAAAAAAAATAACATCTGCATTATCTGCACCACACTAGCATACTAGTTTGTCAACATAATAGTTATAATAGGAATGTAAAAAAAAAAAAAAAAAAAAAAAAAATAAAGACAAAGAAAAATTTGCTAGCACGGAAGGGGCTATGACTGTCGATGTGAAAGATGTTACCACCAGAACGTGTCCATGTGAAACTGCTGCTTTGGGAACAAAATGTTAAGCATCATTTTTGCTTCATGTCCTGTGCCTTCGTCCGGGTCAGAAACGGAAGCTTCCGCATAATGCTCCAACATCTGCTCAAGGCTCTTCTCACCGACTAGCAGCTTTGTGAACGAAAGGGGCGCAAATTCTGCCGAGAAGATCAAAGGCTTCTTGTCAGGTCGACCTTCTGCTTTCGCCAGAGCGATTCTCTTGCGAGCCGCAAGCATTTTGGCATCATTTGAGAGGGGGACATAGTCATCTGTAGCAGAGACGATCTTGCCCTCTTTGAAGACGATCTCGAGTCCACGCCCTGCAGAGCCGACGACTTTACGAAAGAAATCGAATTGCCAAGTGACAGTAATGCCTGCGAGACAAGACTTGGCCAGACGATCTTCGAGTTCCGGAGCCACTTTAAGGATGAACTTTGCATAAGAGAAAATGCGAGTGTAGAACCGAAGCTCGAATGAACTAAGCTTGGATTTACTTTCGAGAAGTTGAGCGATTGGATGTTGGTAATCCAAAGCAATGCCGAGTGTCTGAATCTTTTTCTCGCTCTGGGCCGGCGCCGGAGAGTTTGGCTTGTTGTCCTCTTTGGCTTCAACATTTTCTACCGCTGCCTCCTTTTTATTGTCTTGCTTGTTTTGCTCTTGTTTTTCATCAGCTTGCTTTTCTTTCTGTTGCTGTTGCTGTTGCTTCAGTTCCCAGGGAGTGGGCTGACTAATGATATGGATTAATTGACGCAAGACAGGGTAGAGTGCATCCCGGTATTGATACCCTTCCTCAAGTGTAAAGATATGAAGCACAGGGATTTTCCGAACATTGATGGTGGCAATACCACAATCACGACCGGTCTTTGGATCAACGATGATCCTGGTGGTTCGAGGAGTGTCATACTTGCAGGATTGGGTCCGCCAGCATTCAAAGGCTGTGTATTTCCAGTAAGCTTCATCATAGATCAAGCCGATTTTTGCTTGATTCAATAGCCGTTCAGGCGTACTCATCTTGACCAGATAAGGGATGTCGTCCAAAGTAGGGGCTCGAAGCGCAAAGAGAGTTTCATCTGGGACAAGATCACCGTTTTGTCCTTTTTTAGAAGTTGGATCGAGGTCGGGGAGGACCGTTAGAGGAGTCTCAATTATGAGAGGGGTTCGATCACGGCATGCGTATTCGTATCCGAATTGGAGATAGAAGTGAGGGATCCCAGGAAGGATCTGGATAAGATCGCCACGGCTATCGGAAGCTGGGTGGATCATTTCATGGAACAGTCGACGGATTAAGCCCCTGTTACGGTATTCTATGAGGACATGGGATCAATAGTAGAAGGATATGAGTTGGAAGAATGTGGCAGGTACGATCTATTTTATTTTATTTTTTTTTATAAATATATTTACCTGGAAGGGTACCAACACATTCTGGTTTGCCATAGACCAGACGGACCTTGCCATAGTATCCACTACAAGCATGGAGACAGATACAGGCCACAATAGGGTTTTCACCTTCTTTGGCTAGAGTGTTCTCTACGAGAGCGTAATCGAATTCTGTCATCACGCCATGATTGCCGTGCAGCAGTCGTTTCTGTTAAGTGCAGCGCAAATTATTAATTAATTTTTGTACTTTTTTTTTTTTTTTTTTTTTTTTTTTTGCAATAATAAAAAGATGAGAAAAAAAAAAAGACTTACCATGGCCGCATGGACAATAGCATGAGGACCAGGCCGCTCATCTTCCTTGACAATTTCAGCTCCTGGCATCCACTGCCAAAAAAAAAAAAAAAAAAAAAAAAAAATTAAATGATAAAGATAAAATATTTAGTCATTTTTAAAAAAAAAAGTAGCCATTTTTTTTTTTTTTTTTTTTTTTTTTTTGAATATTACGCGAAAAGCCTCGGCCATGCAATCAGCAACATTGTCCGCATCTTCGCGAGTCGACCAACGCATGACAAGCCCATCACCAATGTCGATTCTTTGGGATCGCTTTTGCACAGGGTAGGCAATGGGGCCTTGAGTATAGTTCTTGTAGTCATACTTGGTTTCAGGGACCTCGATAGTCATGATGAAGGATAAAGGAGTTCTAGGAAAAAATATATATATATATATATATAAAAGAATGAAAGTAGGAGAGGAAAGAAAAGATGTTGAAGGAAGTAAAGGAAGGAAGGAAGAAGAAAAGAAAGTGGCAAAGACGATGGGCAATTTATAGTTGTTCAAGTTCCCATATTTTGTGTTTTATTTCTTTTTGATTGGTCTAAAGTCTTGGCAATTGTCAAAAAATTTAAATGCAGGATGTATACCATGGAGCAGAGCAGATCCGGTTCAAAAGCGCGTTCTTGTCTATTTTGGTAGGGATCACAAAAATCCGCCGTAAACAATCGATTTTGTTTGAATGTTTTGTGCAATGCTAACACCCTCGCCGAATGATAGTTTTCGCCGCGTGAGAACCCTCCCTCCTCCCCATTTTTGATGTGTTAATGTGTCAACAGAAAATGTATTCCTAGTCTATATTGTACACAAAAATAAACAGACATGTCAATTGATGTGCCTCGCCTTTAAGAGCATGCTTGCTAGGTTGCTTTCTTTATCACATTTACATGTATTTGTCGCTCACTATACTACACATTTTCAAAGATACGAAGATAAGAAAAAAAAAAAAAAGAAAAAAAAATAGAGTTGATTCTGGCTCAACGCCCTAATTTATTTATTGACTACATGTACATTGCTCCATTGACAAAAGCTGGAGATGTCTTGTCAAAAATCATTTTTTATTCCATAAAAAGTTAATATGGATATTCAGCTTCCTTTTTTTTTTTTTTTTTTTTTTTTTGGTATATCGAATGCGTACGAAGGAATGACATTGACAAGGAAGAAGGGCAAAGGGAGACAGGATAGTAGAGCCAAGCAATTTACGCACGCGTATGTGTTTATTTGTGCTTTTTTTTTTTTTTTTTTTTTTTTTTTTTAATTTTATAGTCTCTCTCTTAAAGAGCATGCAGGGGGTGAATCTATTTGACAACCCGGGTTGTCACTCTTATTTGACAACCCCCCCCCTTAATTATTTTTCTCAGTTTTTTTTCTTTGCGTGACAACCCGGGTTGCCAAATAGTAAAATATCTAATTTGACAACCCCAAGCTCACTGTTATTTGACAACCCTTTTTTTATTGGCAAGATTATTATGTGAAAATCGTTTCTATTGCTATCCCTCAGCAACACGAAATCCCTCCAGCAATCTAAAAGCTTCCATCAAATAACAAGCTTTTTTTTTTGGTTACGAGGTGTTGTTTTTTATTACAACTGATTTCTAAAACAAGGGTTTGCTTTATAGAAAATGTGCCTATACGGGTAACATGCACTAAGGGGTTTTTGGATATATAAGCATACATAAATTCGGAGTGGTTATGCGACGCTTGATGGCGCATGCGTAAGACGCGGAAAGGAAAAAAAGAGAGACAGAAGAAGCTATAACCACAGTCATGATAATGGAGTGTTGCCACCATTTTAGAAATCCAGCTGAGAAAGGCCCTCCATAAGTGCAAGAGGGTGAAGACTTGTCATGTGACAGGTTGAAAAAGACAATTTTTCTTCTTTTCTTGACAACCGGGTTGTCAAATAACAAAAAAGTGAAAATTGAAGACCTTGGGTTGCCAAATAAGCCGGTGTGACTGCTAAATTGGGGGGGGGGTTGTCAAATAAGAGTGACAACCCGGGTTGTCAAATAGATTAATTCTGAAGAGAAAGGGCGTGATGTTTTGGTTTCCAGCACGTGCTGGAAGAAAACGAGCACAAACCTATTGCCCATACAGCACAAGCTGATTGCCCATACAGCACAAGCTGATTGCCCATACAGCACAAGCTGATTGCCCATACAGCACAAGCTGATTGCCCAAACAGCGCGAACCTGTTCTGAAACAGCATGAACCTGTTGTGAAACAGCATGAACCTGTTCTGAAACAGCACAAACCTTTTCTAAAACAGCGCGAACCTGTTCTGAAAACAGCACAAACCTATTGCACAAACAGCGCCAACCTGAAGAAAAAGCATACAGGCTTAAAAAAATCCACAATCATTTGCATGCATAACAGGCTTCTTCTCTTTTCGCACTACCATTACCATTGCCATTACCATTACCATTGCCATTACCATTACCATTGCCATTGTCATTCTCATTCTCATTCAATTCTCAGAGAACCTTCTGCATCATCCCTATAAACACGCTTAATACCACGAACAGTTGACAGATTAACTTTATTTGTCTGATCTTGTCTCACAAAGCGGCCATGTACTTTAATAATTCAGTAAATGCTCGGCATCTCTGCCTCTGCTTTCTCTTTATTACTAATGTTGACTATATATAGTCAAAGCCAACTTCTACTTCCATAGCTAGGCTTCTATATCTCTATATCTCAAAGATCTTAAAGACCAATAATCATCGTCTGTGACGCCAAGTAACACTGATACGATTGTACTAGATTCTTCTCTTGCCACTCTTTTTGGGCTTAGTAAAAGAAGTCTTGCCCTGGCTTAGCAATGCTGAAGTCCCTATCCCTCAGGCGCCATGGTTGTCACTCCGTGGAATATATACTTTATTCTTGAGGCAGATGTTAAGTGTAAGTCATTAAAAATGGTATGAGAAAAAGCTTTTTATCATTTATTTCTTCAACCGGCATGGCGATACAGCATATTCTCATCGGGATATCAAAGTAAAATTTAAACATAATGCCATGTTAAAGTTGCTCTCTGGCCTATCCAATGTCCTATTAGTTGACTTGTCTTCTCTCAAGAACGCTCTCATAAAGAAAGGGGTGAAACGCGCCCGACATCTGCTTGATCAATACATTCTTTGAAATTGATGAGTGGTTTGTAAATCCTCTAGATATTAGCTTCGAGAATTAATAGATGAAGAATTACCACATTACGATGAGTAATCAGAAAAAAAGCTGCAAAGTCAAAGGAAGATGTCCTTATGTCATCACAACGGCCTGGGCCTCCGTCTGAGCATTAAAATATAGCGAGTTTCATTGATGGAGTCCAAAATATAGACGCATCTTTCAGAATAAAGCTAAAACTTAATATTGCCAATCACTTTATACTACTTTCACAAGTAGTGGACAAAATACAACACTGTTGACGCGCAGTGTAGATAAAAACGCTTAATTTATTTCATTGTAAGTCTAACAAAGTCCGAATCTTCTCAAAGCTGTGACTAAAAATGATGTTGCGCACATTTCGATCACTGAGGTTGGTCCTAAGTGGAGAGAGGACTAGCCCTGCCTTACTGAACAAACGCTCAGACTCAGTTGATGTGGACTGGATACAGAGGTACGAGCGCGCGAAGTGGGCAAGTTCCTCAACTGAGATATTTTCATCGATGCCATATGGCCTCCAATAGTCCTGAGGCTTATCTTTAAAGCGATCGTGATTGTAGTCCGGCAAGCGTACCGATGAAGCGTAGAGCTCTACCGCAAAATTCGAAGAGAAGTAGAGTATCTGATAATCACTCGTTTGCAATGGATTTTTTGTCACTGTATTATTCTCTTTGAATATCTTAAAGGCTTCGCTGCAGAGTTTTTTTGCTTTTATAAACAGACTTTCCCCACTAGCATGCATCGTATCCTTTAAGATATCGAGTGCTGCGCAAGCAGGGTTCAGGAATATAGAAATGAGCACGGTATCTGGAATGTCCTGGAGAGGCCACGATTTTTTGATCTGTTCGTCCAGGCTTTGCCATAACTCTCTCGTCTCTTCCGTTCGGAATGTTGTAAGCGCCGGGAGCATGGTGTAGACCCTCAAATAGATTTGCGAAATGGTCGGGTTATCATGTGCGCCTGCCCAGTGTGTAAGCTTGGCAGCCGGCTCCAAGAGCGTGATAATCTCCTGCAGGGTCTCGATCTCTCCCTCGACAAGGAGGTGCCGCCCGAGCTCCGCAGCCTTGAGCTTTTCGTCTTTGGATCCTGCCCTCATTAATTGATAGACCGCTGTAATTGCTTCTGAAACTTCAAGCACCCTTGCTGCCATGTTGAATTTTGAGTTCCATCGCGTGACATTCGTTGTAAGCAGTTTGACCAATTTTTTGTTACTTTTGCTACGCTGATTGTTAAGCAGATCCATAGCAAGACTGGAGCTTCTGAAGAAGGTTGAGATCTTTTGGCATTTTTCCATCACCGCCTTAGCTCCAGAACTTCGTTCCAATGCCTTATTGATACACAGCTGTATTACATGGGAAAAACAGGGAAGCCAGGTAATACTCTTCTTTAGATTATAAAGCTGTATGGCTCTTTTTATGTTCGACCCTTGATCCGTTGTTGCACAGATCAAATGCCCTTCCAAATTCCATCTTGCGACTACACGTTCTATAGAACAAATTCCAGGATTAAAAGTGTTATTTACATAGGTCTCAAACAGGCAGTAAACCGACAGAGCTAAAGCTATGATATTCTTACCAAGCTTTTCCAATAGGACTTCTGCCGATTGAGGGCCTTGGACTCGTTCCATGCCAATCACAACTGAAGCCGGCTGAAAGTCATGTGTTAGAAAGTGAAATGTTACTCCAAAGAACTTCCTTTGATCACCGCTTGTCCAACTATCCGCTGTGATTGCGCCTTGAATTTTACGATCAGTGATGTATCTCGATTTGCCTCCACATATGCATTACACTTAAATCCATGTTTGATTGGATAGCGTCTGTGCTTGGAATTACGTATAATGCATTAAGTTGCAAACATATTGCCTTGAAAGAATCCGAGCCAATTATTTTGAAGGTCGCTCCGTTGTCGGCGATAAGCCTTAAAAGTAATTTCTCGAAGAACTGTTGTTCATACGGAAGTGGCCTCTTCATAGTCGTAAGAACAAATCCCTCTCTAGCCACTTCGAAGTTCCCCTGTGGTCTAGGGGGCTCATCATCATCATCATCTTGATCTTTCGACGACTTGACATTCTGGACCATGCCTTGATAGAGGCGAAATTCCTGCACAGCTTCATATATTGTGGAGTGGTTTTTGAGGAGATGGTTTTTTCGTGATCTGCCGCCCCTAACTTCTTGTACTTTATGCCACACTTTACCCCGAGACTGTTCTTAACCTGGCATTCGAAGAAGCCAGATGCATCTGTATTATAGAAATGTCCAAGGATACTAGACTTGCGTATGGACTTAT